TATTACTTATATATGCTCAAGGAGTCAAAGGATCAAGAAATACTGCTATACCAACAAATAAAATTATTAGAGCTCATTACAAGTACTTTATTCAGGATAACACTAGCGTAATTGCAATCACTGCCTTTCAAACTTCAAGAACAAAGTATCTACCTAGTGACCATCTCTGCTTGAGTGAGCCCCAGGCATCTCTAATTTAAAATAAAATAAAATAAAATAGAGCTGACCTTTTCCTCTGCCTATCTTCCTCCTAGATTCTCTGTTTAAAGGAAGGCAGTGGCTTCCAGTGAGTCATCAAGTCAAAAGTCTTAGAGTCATCCTACCCTTTCTATTCTTTCATTATATTTACCCCCCATACTCAGTAAGTCACCTGAATTGGTTGAAACAACTTCTTAAACTCCTCTCACATTCATACTCTCCTGCTAAGTCTTGGAGTGCGGCTCTGTTGGTGTCTTTTACCCTGTGACTGCCTTTAAGTTGTTTTTCTCTTAAAGAAGTAGAAAAAACAATCCTAAAGTTTATATGGAACTACAAAAATCCCTAAATAGACAAAGCAATGTTAAAAACAAGGAACAGAGCAGGAGGCATCACATTTCCTGATTTCAAACTATATTCTAAAGCTATAGTAATCCAAACAGTATTGTACTGGCATTTTTTTAATTCTGTTTTTACAGAAATGAATGAAATAGAATCAAGAGTCTAGAAAAAAAAGTCATGCACATATAGCCAACTAATCTTTGACAAGACAGCAAACAATATTCATGGAGAAAAAAAAGTCTCTTCAATAGATGGTACTAGGAAATTTGGACACTCACATGCAAATTACAAAACAAGATCCCTATCTTATATCATTCACAAAAACTAATTCAAAATGGATTAAAATTTTAAATGTAAGACAGCAAACTATAAAACTCCTAGAAGGAAACAGGAAAAATGTTCCTGGACATGGGTCTCAGCAATAACTTTTTTGGAATGTGACAACGAAGCCATGAACAAGATAAAAAATAAATGGGACTACAATGAACTAAAGGCTTCTGCAGAGCAACAGAAATAAATCATCAAAATGAAAAGACAATCTACAGAATAGGGGAATATATTTGCAAATCATATATGAAACAAGAAATTTTAATAATCTTACATTTTAATTTCAATAATTTTCCAAAATATAAAATCAACTGAATAGCAAAAAAAAAACAAAAAAAATCCAATTTAAAAAAATAGGCAAAGTACCTCAAAAGACATTTTCCAAGGAAGTTATACACAAATGGTTAAGATATTAAAATGGTTAAAAGGTGCTGAACAGTAATCATTAGGAAAATGCAAATGAAAACTACAAAGAGCCTTCCCCTCACACTTGTCAGAACAGCTATTATCAAAAGGACAAGCACTAACAAACGCTGGAGAGGCTATGGAGAAAAGGGAATACTTATGCATGGTTGGGAGCTTCCCTGGTGGCTCAGCTGGCATAGAACCAGCCTGCAATGTGGGAGACCTGGGTTCCATCCCTGGGTTAGGAAGATCCCTTGATGAAGGCAACAGCTGCCCACTCCAGTATTCTGGCCTGGAGAATTCCATGAACTGTATAGTCCACGGAGTCACAAAGAGTCAGACATGACTTAGTAACATTCACTTTCATGCATTGTTGGGATGACTGTAAATTGGTGCAGCCACTATGGAAAACAGCACAGAGGTTTCTCAAAAAATTAATAGTAGAACTACCATATGAGCCAGAAATTCCACTTCTAGAATACATCTAAGGAAACAAAAGCACTATGTCAGAAAGACATCTGTACCACCATGTTCTTAGCCACATTATTTACAATAGCTAAGACATGGAAACAACGTAAGTGTCCATCAACCCACGAGGGTGGTATATACACAGTGGAATACTGAAAAGTGAAAGTGAAAGTCGCTCAGTCGGGTCCAACTCTTTGTGACCCCATGGACTGCATAGTCCATGGAACTCTCCAGGCCAGAATACTGGAGTGGGTAGCCTTTCCCTTCTCCAGGGGATCTTTGCAACCCAGGGATTGAAGCCAGGTCTCCCTCATTGCAGGTGGATTCTTTACCAGCTGAGCCACAAGGAGCCCAAGAATACTGAAGTAGGTAGCCTATCCCTTCTCCAGTGGATCTTCTCAACCCAGGAATCAAACCGGGGTCTCCTGCATTGCAGGCAGATTCTTTAGCAACTGAGCTATGAGGGAAGCCCCCATCAGCCATAAAAAGGAAATTCTGCCATGTACAAAAAAACAGATGCATATTGAAGGCATTATGCTAAGTGAAATAAAACAGAGAAAGACATACAATGCATGCTCGCATATGTGAAATCCAACAGAAAACAAAATCAGACAACCCACAGGAGAAGTATGGTATGTTCAAAGTTAATAAACGTAAGAATTCTCATCACAAGGAAGAAAACCTTTTCTTTTTTAGTATCTATAGGGAATGACGGATGCTAACTAAATTTACTGAGGTATTTCACATTATATGTAAGTCAAATCATATGCTGTACAGATGTAAACTTACATAGTGCTATATATGTCAATCATATCTCAAGAAAACTGGATAATTTTAAACTAAAAAATAAAATTGGGGAAAATGAAATCTTTATAATGTTCAGTCATTCTGTGCAAGAACAAGAGGTATCTTTCCACTTGTTCAGAAACACTTATGTCTCTCAGGAGTGTCAAGCTATTAACAAATTTTAAAATTTCTTTCCAATAAATTTAAGTGGTGAACTGAGTTACTAGAAATGTGGTAACATGTAAAATGAGTATATGTCACATTCTATGCAGAAAAAATAACCAATATCTTAAATGCTAACATGTTTCACACTGTAAGTGATGTATTAAAAACCTGTATCCTTCGAAAAATTATGTCAGCTGTAGAGAGATGCTCTGGGCAGCTAGGCAATGTCAGAAATACAGGGTTATTTTATTTCCTGGATGTTCCTCTCAGGGCTCCACAGTAAACCAGATCTTTTTCACCTAAACCATAATATTTCTTGAAAGGTAAACAACTTCTCCCTCCTGGAAAGGCAGAGAGGGAGGCTAATAACTAATGGAGTCAATGGTCTAAGACAAAAACTTGCTGCACAGAGTGGAGGAAAGAAAGTGTGTAGGGATTTGTAGGCAGGATAGCAAAGACTGCATAACAGATCAATCAGGTACTATATACACTGCAGTGAATTTATACATATCTACCCACCCTTTCTATCCTCATGCACAAACATGCCCACAGAGGACTGAGAATGACAGAAGAATTGATCAAGACACAGAACAAAGGTCTGAGAGGGACAGAACAGAGACCCTGACTCTGCTACCATGACCACAGGATGGTTAGCAAAGCCCCTCTGTGAGTGAAGTGTCATGTTCTAAGTCTGAAGCACCTTGATACATTAATTTCTAATTAACAGTAATGTTTTACTATTTAGAAAATTTTGTCTATCACTGAAATGTTGTTTGGAGAATACTGTTCACTAAAAGTTTCTCTTTAAGAACCTTACCTGAACAAATGCAAAGCTCCTCCTGCCCTAATCCAGGGCTCAGGGTCGATCCCCCATCCTATCTGGAGGGAGGAGGGTGCTGGCTGGATGACTGATAACTTAGTGGAGGGGGTACCTCCACAGCTCACCTGACTCAGGCCTAGTGAGATTCAGGTGAGCTCATGAGTCCTGGATACAAGGGTCTGAAGTTGTGTGAAGCTGGGGTCAGGAGACCACCCAATGTGGCTGACCTCACTTCTAGATCCAGGTCTGCTCCTAATTTACTCTGGGAGGAAAGCAAACCTTTGCCCTGTCGTGTTTTATCTTTCTGGTCTGTCAAGTGAGCAAAATGACATGTGCCCTACTTTACGAGCATTGAATCAAAGCAGACAATGAACATGAAAATACACTAAAGAATAAAAGTGCTGTCTGAATGGAAGGGCTTCCCTAGACTGCTCCAGTGGCCTCTGTTTCATAACTTAGGGAATGAGAAAACAATTAGATAATTTTCAAGCATGTTTGTCATGGATTTTAAAAAAAAAAAATCCACTTAGTGGCTGAGTCACTATTTTAACCATGACTGTATGTACCTTAGATTATTTTTAAAGGGCTGAGGAATCCGTGTCCCACAGCTGAAAAGACTTCCAAGCCCCATAACCCACCCAGCAGACAGACCTGGGCCATTCTGGCACTGCTGGCAGGGGACTCCGAGGAGATGGAGAAAAAGATTTAAGTCAAAGGGGAAAAAAAGAGTTATTGCTACCCTGGAACATATTCTCTAGACACTCGGAGAAGCAGTGTCTGTTATATTTAACAAGGAACAAATATAATTAAAGAAAACCCCACATTTATGTCTGTCCCTTTTGGCGTGAGCATATTTGTTCTCTAAGTTCATGCTCATGAACAGTAAGCATCTTTTGAGTAACTCAGTGCTTGAAATTACTTTTGCAGCACAGCGATTTGTGAAATGTTTCTCCTACACCGGAGTCCTGAGCTCGACCTCATGCACATGAAATAACTCAAGCAGCGACCCTATTACAGCTGACGTCACAGCTGCCTACCGTGGGGTCTCTGCACCCCAACGCCTATCCCGTTTCTCCCTGACTCAGATTTCAGGTTAACAGCCCAAGGGAACAGACGAGACTCCAAACATCGGTCTTTTTCGTCCCGTATACTTTACGAACTCATTGGGTCAGGAAATATTTGTCTTCTGTATTATAATTCAGTCTAATAATAATTTGCTATTAAAATAATTTGCTATTAATTATTTGCTATTTGCTTATTTGCTATTAAAATAATTTGCCTTATTTGCTATTAAAATAATTTCAGGCATCAGGTCTGGGGGTTGGGGGGAGGGAGGCTGATCCAATTGCCTTGACTCTCACCCCACAGTGAAGGAGGTCTGTCCCAAGGAACTAAGTTTATTCACTTGGGGTGCTGTGGGCTCACTTGAGTCACGGGGTAAAAGGGGAGAGGAGGGGCTTTCTTTGTCCTCCAGGGCTGCCTTCTTACCTACTCTCTGTCCAGGAGCTGCTGCGGCCTCCTCCAGGCGTCTCGTGACCACACCGCCTGCTCCGGGGTCCCTTGAGCTCCCCCAGACCGCCGGGCTCGCCTTCCTCCCTGACAGCGCCCACGGGCCCTCCGAGGGCGCATGCGCACTGCTCCGCCCCGCCTCAGGCCCATGGGGCCTGTTTTAGGGGCTTTCCTGGGCTTTCTCCCGCTTTCTCCGGGAGGTCCCAGGTGGCTCCCATCACGGTCGTTACCCACAGGTGCCGGGGCTCCAGGGAAGAGGACGCGGCAGGGTCTGAGAGGGAAGCGAGCAAAGAGAAATGGGGCCTGCTGCTGCTGCTGCTAAGTCGCGTCAGTCGTGTCCAACTCTGTGCGACCCCATAGACGGCAGTCCACCAGGCTCCTCCGTCCATGGGATACTCCAGGCAAGAGTACTGGAGTGGGGTGCCATTGCCTTCTCTGAAATAGGGCCTGGCTGGGGGACAATTGGGAGCCCAGGTCATAAACAGGCATCAGGTTCAGGTGGGCAGGCCTGCAGGGAGCAGGAGGTCAACACCAGGTGGGAAAAACTGATGGCGATAATTACGGATCTTGGAATACCGAACAAAGAGTGAAGAAAAACCTAAAAGCTTGGTTTTGATCGGAAATACACTACCAACTAGGCTTCTAGCGTGGCTCAGCGATAAAGAATCCGCCTGCAATACAAGAGACACAGGAAACCTGGGTTCCATCTCTGGTGGGGAATATCCCCCGGGAGAGGGCATGCAACTGCACTCCAGTATTCTTGAGGGGGAATAACCTGGACAGAGGAGACTGGCAGGCTACAGTCCCTGGGGTCACAAAGAGTCAGACACGGCTGAGCTACTAAATAAATGTACACATACAGCTGATTCACTTTGCGGTAGAACAGATACTAACACAGCATTGTAAAACAACTATACTTCAGTAAAAGTTAATTAAAAAATAAAGTATGATGGCAGTGATCATTTTAGTTACTCAAATCCATGCTCTCTACCATGAAGCAGTTATCAGTGGCCTTAAAACTTACTAGATACATTAAAAAGCCATAAATACAGATCCAAAATGGATTTCCTTGAGGTGACCAAAATCATATGGTCATAAACTGAAAAAAAAAAAAAAGATTAAAAAAATGAAGTTCTATTGTACAAAAAGGGCAATATAGAGTAATGGTAATAATGTGACAATCAAAATGTCCATTGAGGCTTTGTTATTCAAACTTGAGCAGGTTCTTAAATTTCTAGGAAAGAACAAATGGCTGAAAATATCCAAAAAAACAATAAAAACCATGATAAATATTACTTTATGTAATCCTTAATATAAAGTAATTAACTGTGACAACCTGGAGTGTTAGGGTGGGGAGTGGGGCTTCAGGATGGAGGGGACACATGTATACTTGTGGCCGATTCATACTGATGTATGGCAAAAACTATCACAATATTGTAAACTAACAAATGGTATGGACCTAACAGAAGGAGAAGATATTAAGAAGAGGTGGCAAGAATACACAGAAGAGCTGTACAAAAAAGATCTTCACAACCCAGATAATCATGATGGTGTGATTACTCACCTAGAGCCAGACATCCTGGAATGTGAAGTCAAGTGGGCTTTAGAAAGCACCATTACAAACAAAGCTAGAGTAGGTGATAGAATTCTAGTTGAGCTATTTCAAATCCTGAAAGATGATGCTGTGAAAGTGCTGCACTCAATATGCCAGTAAATTTGGAAGACTCAGCAGTGGCCACAGGACTGGAAAAGGTCAGTTTTCATTTCAATCCCAAAGAAAGGCAATGCCAAAGAATGCTCAAACTACCCCACAACTGTACTCATCTCACACGCTAGTAAAGTAATGCTCAAAATTCTCCAAGCCAGGCTTCAGCAATATGTGAACAGTGAACTTCCAGATGTTCAAGCTGGTTTTAGAAAAGGTAGAGGAACCAGAGATCAAATTGCCAACATCCACTGGATCATCGAAAAAGCAAGAGAGTTCCAGAAAAACATATATTTCTGCTTTATCAACTATGCCAAAGCCTTTGACTGTGTGGATCACAATAAACTGTGGAAAATTCTGAAAGAGATGGGAATACCAGACCACCTGACCTGCCTCTTGAGAAACCTGTATGCAGGTCAGGAAGCAACAGTTAGAACTGGACATGGAACAACAGACTGGTTCCAAATAGGAAAAGGAGTACGTCAAGGCTGTATATTGTCACCCTGCTTATTTAACTTATATGCAGAGTACATCATGAGAAACGCTGGGCTGGAAGAAGCACAAGCTGGAATCAAGATTGCCGGGAGAAATATCAATAACCTCAGATATGCAGATGACACCACCCTTATGGCAGAAAGTGAAGAAGAACTAAAGAGCCTCTTGATGAAAGTGAAAGAGGAGAGTGAAAAAGTTGGCTTAAAGCTCAACATTCAGAAAGCTAAGATCATGGCATCTGGTCCCATCACTTCATGGCAAAGAGATGGGGAAACAGTGGAAACATTGTCAGACTTTATTTTTTTGGACTACAAAATCACTGGAGATGTGACTGCAGCCATGAAATTAAAACACACTTACTCCTTGGAAGGAAAGTTATGACCAACCTAGACAGCATATTAAAAAGCAGAGACATTACTTTACCAACAAATGTCCATCTAGTCAAGGCTATGTTTTTTTCCAGTGGTCATATATGGATGTGAGAGTTGGACTGTGAAGAAAGCTGAGCGCTGAAGAATTGATGCTTTTGAATTGTGGTATTGGAGGACTCTTGAGAGTCCTTTGGACTGCAAGGAGATCCAACCAGTCCATTCTAAAGCAGATCAGTCCTGGGTGTTCATTGGAAGGACTGATGTTGAAGCTGAAACTCCAATACTTTGGCCACCTGATGCGAAGAGTTGACTCATTGGAAAAGACCCTTATGCTGGGAGGGATTAGGGGCAGGAGGTGAAGGGGACAACAGAGGATGAGATGGCTGGATGGCATCACCGACTCGAAGGACATGGGTTTGGGTGGACTCCAGGAGTTGGTGATGGACAGGGAGGCCTGGCGTGTTGCAATTCATGGGGTCGCAAAGAGTCGGACACAACTGAGCGACTAAACAACTGAAACTAATTATCTTCCAATTAAAATAAATAAATTACCTTTTAAAGAAGAAAAATGTAATTAAATTTGAGAATTTGCTTTAGAAACAACAAGCAATGAAAACTGTAATATTATTTCATGTTATACTTAACATAAAGCAATCAAGATTGAGGATTTGGTTTAGAAAACAAATGTATTAATGGAACAGAAGCTAGAATCTCCAACTGATCCTGTATGTATTAACATCTATATATAGATATATACGTATATAATGTGTACTAGGTACAAGACAGATTGCATTGCAGATCAATGAGAAAAATTGAAGACTGAGTGAATTATGCTGAGATAATTATACACACAAATGAAAAAATAAAATTAGATTTCTATCTCTTATTATTCCTTTTAAATGTTGAAATTAGAAAACTATAAAAATTAAAATTCTAGGACACTTAGAAGAAAATCTGAGAGTATATGACCTCAGAGTATGGAAAAATTTCAACAAAATCCCAAAATACACATATCATAAAGAAAGAACATGTCAAGTTTTACTGCACTAAATATAAAACTTAACCAAAAGTCACTCTAAATGAGTGAAAAAAAATCACAGGTTATGATAAACTACAATTAACTGATTTAAATAGGAATTATGAAGAATTCCTACAACTGAGCAATAAAAGGACAGTCAACCAAAAAAATGACAAAACATATGAATTAACAATTCATTTAGACAGGCAGAAATTCATAAATTATGTAAAAAGTTGGCAGGGATATGGTATCTTCTTATGCATTTTCACACACTGCCAATGGGAATGCAACTGGGTCTAGCTTCTGGAAGCAATTTGGTAATATCTAGTTGGGCTAAAGACATGCATTTCCATGACTGGGCAATTCACTAATTCTGTATATTCCTTAGAGGCTCTCTTCCATGCCCCTATGTGTAAGAATGTTTATAGCAGCATTATTTTAAATTTTTTAAAGGTATTTTTAAAAACCTACTGTGTTTATAATAAAAAAGTTACCATTCTTTTAATTTCACACATGACAAAATTGAAACAACAAAAAATTATAAAACTTGTAAGAAGATGCACTAGAATTGTTTAAAAAAACATTCATATGCAGTAAAAAGTTAAAGAAATGTAAAAAAGAATAAACACCAGATACAAAATAGTGGTTACTTACCAGGAAGAAAGAAAGGGGGATAAAGAGACACACACATGGTTCAATTCTATTTGCAAGAGTTCATTTCTTCAACTAGGTGGTTGGTGCATGGGTACATTGTTTTTCTGCATTTTTCTGACTGAATAATTTTTATGTCAGAATAATTTTTATTATTTTTTAAATAAACACTCTAGATTGAGAAAAATAAAAGAGACAGAGAGAATGAGAGACAGTATTGTCATGTAAAAGCTCTGTGAACTTGGGCATGTCCATGAATGCCAGAATTTTATTTTCTTTTTAATTTCTAAAAGGAAAATAATACAATTGTGTTTTCATAGAATTTATTTCCACACACTTTGTAAATATAAAATGTCCTATACACATGACCAGGTATGGTCTTCGCTTGGAAGAAATAGTATTTGCCTTGTGTCAGGAAACAGAGCGGGCTTTGTGTCTAAGAAGGTAGGGTTTCCACTCTCAAAGCCTCAATATGAAGGTGATAATGGTGAACTGTGCCCGGTCACCTGGCACATGCCCCTTAGGGAAAGGGTGAGTATAGGTATTTATGTGTGTGCTGGAGAAGGGAATGGAAACTCACAGTGTTCTTGCCTGGAGAATTCCATGAACAGAGGAGCCTGGCAAGTCCACGGGGTCCCAAGAAGTTGGACACCACTGAGGGACTAACACAACATGTGTGCCTGAGATTGCACAAGTGCATGTGTGTGCTTCTGTGTCTGTGAGTATACGGGTGAATGTGTTAGGAGAGTGTGAGTCTAGGTGTGCATGTGTTTGTGAACGAGTCATCAAATAACCACAACTGACAGACTCCAGGCCTGTGCTGGCGTGCAATACCACCGCAGAGCAAAGATCTGTGGAAATGTTTCACTTTCGCAGATATGCACCCTGAGCAGCTGTCAGACTATGCACTTCAGTCACCGAGGACAGAAGCTGCCTTCCTCCCAGAACAACAGAAGTATTAATCTTCCAAAGCCATCTACAGGCTTCCAGCAAGAGACATGAACTGCATCTGGCCAAGGGATCTCATTACA